AAAAAGAATACAGTGAAAAGGGAAGTAATATTAATAATGCAGAGTGTAAAGGTTAAATAAATTAAAATATATTTTATATTATTTCCAATAAAATATAATTACTTTCTAAAAACCCTCATATATTATTTGACTAGCTTGAAAATTATTTTTTATTGATATTTAAAATTTGTGCATTGGAAAATATAAAATCTTCTTCATTCATTATTCATCTTTCATTTGAAATTAATGATAACATTGTTCTTTTTCCATCAGTTAATATTAATATTTACTTTAAGTTTAATTTATATAATGTCAGTGCCTGTGTTATGTTACTGAAAATATTGTTTCACTCTTTTCTCATTTTTATTCTGACTCCCTACATTTTAATTTAACAAATGAAAAGATTAATTTTGCTATAATTACCTGAAAAAAAAAAACAGTCAAAATATTTATAATTTCGAACATTTCTCCAAATCCTGTTTTTATCATTAGATCATGTCAATATCTCTGACCTTCCAAGCTTATCAGAACAAATTACAGGTTTATGTATGAGAGGCTAGTGAAAAGTTCTCAGCCTGGCCAACATGCTCACTGAAAAAATAAATATTTGAATACTCATTCATATTTTGAAGAAAATTAGTAGAATGAACATATCTCCAGTCCGGCATAAAGATACTAGATTCATTTTTTAATATTTCCAGTTTCAAGATCTTCTCCATTATTGTTTTAAGGAATACATTTTAATGAACCAACTTAGTATTATTTAAAGATCTTCTTGAATATACAGATTTTCATTAATGCTATGAAATCAAACATACTTTTTAGAATAGACGAAAAAGAAAAGTCAGAAAAATATGATAATCACTACAAATTGCAATTTGAAAATGTTTTTATTGATAATTTATAAAAATGTCTCTGAACAGTAGAGCATTGGAAGTAAATACATCATGATAAATAACTGTAATTATAAATATTGAAAAAAACTTCTTTTTCTGGACATTTCTTTCATTTCTTCTCGCCATATAAATTCACTAATATAACTTGCGGTTATCTGGAATTATACTTTTTACCTCAACAAATGACAACAAAAATGTTAAAAAACACTATTTATTAAACTCTTTATTTACAAGAATAGTGTTCAATACTTTTTTGTTAAATTTTGAGTAAAAAGAAAATGCATAAATCCAGTTTTGTATGTTTGTGTATTGTTAAAATTAAAAAGTAAATTTTTAAACAATAAAGATTGTTGACAGGTTGCAATGGATAAATTGTCATCTAAATTATGCAAAAATGAAAATAACACTGACACCTCATTTTAACAGATATATTTACCAAAATTACACAAAAATATCTTGAAATACTAAAACGTAAATTTATTTGATAACATTACCATTAGCTTCAAAAATGGTCCACAGATGAATTCAGAATCTCTTGCAACTCTTCTGGGTGGTCTCCTTGTTTAAATTGGTGAATGCTGCTATAATCTTTGCCTTCAGTTCAACTTTGATGCTACAAGAAATTTTGTTGGTCTCTCACTCAACTGTGCCCCACACATAATAATCAAGGGGGTTGCAGTCTGAGGAGTTAGGTGGCCACATGTAAGGGCTGATGTGGTCGCAGAAATTGCCTGACAGCCATGATTGGGTTCTCTTGCTTGAGTGGCATGGAGCAGAGTCCTGTTGCTAGACACAGGGTCTTCCAGCAGTCACCCTCTTGATCCAGGCCAGCACTACCTCCTCAAGATACTTTATATAGGACTTGATGTGGAGTCTGAGACCCACACTAAAAAAATTCAAGAGATTTTTTCCTATCAGAATGATCAGAATGGGATTTCTGAGCTACCAGACCTTTTTAATCACTATTAGACCCATCCAACTCTTTCTGAATCCTCTGCACTGTCCTCAGATTGACAGCCAAACACTCTGAAATGTTTGTATTGGAGCTTCCAGCACAAATGCTAAGCAGTACAGCATGCTATTTCCGAATTTCTGGTGGAGCAAATTGTATAATGGTGCTCTTTTTCTCACAGACAGTACCCAACTAACCTTATTATTTTGTGCAATTGACAATATCAAAAACAAACAACGTGCATGCATGAAAAAGTATAAAATGATGACAATTTAACCACTGCACCCTGTACTTTAATAACAGTGTGAAGAGAAAGACTGTTCTCACAAAGAACAACTTAGCTAATGCAATAGTCATGCATAGAAATAAATTCAACCACAATTTTGATTTTAAAAATGCTACACTCATAAAAAAAAGAAAATAACTCACTCAGAAGGAAAATCCTCGAGAGTGCTGCAATTGAATATTACCCAAATATTAATCTATGCCCAGGCCTTTTCCCTATTTCACTTTCCTTAACAGAATTACTACTCTCCCAAACAAACGTACAAAACAGTATCAAGATATCAAAAGAAAATGGTTGAATCCGTCAACACAGCAATAAAAACAATATCACCACACGTGACAATAATCAACGTAATTTTCAGTTAACAGTATGAAAGTAGCATTCTCAAAATTTTTCCAGTTGCTAAGGACATTTTGTTTTGTTATCATTAGTTACTTTGTTTAATAAATTCATTTCGTTTTTGCCTTAAAAAGTCCACATTGGACTAAACGTGTTGGTAACTATTACAGTTTTTCCTATTATCTTTTACATTGATAAATATTGTCTTTTTTGTACAGGTTAACTCTGAGAAATTTTTCATATATATATATATATATATATATATATATATATATATATATATATATAAATTTCTCAGAGTTAACTTGTACAAAAAGACAATATTGTTCGCCCAATAAAAGGTTCAAAAGCCACTCAAGTTAGAGGGTTACAGTGTGGTGTTGTATGAGCATAAGAAAAGGCAAGAAGTGAAATTCATGGGGCTATGCAGGAAAGATAACGGTTAACCCTAGGACTTGAAGAGGATGTGATTGGGAAAAAATCCTGCCAATAGTCTGTTCCACAAGGAGAACAGTTCTTGGAAAGTAGCTGTACAAATGGCATTTACTTTTAATATTGACGGGAATGGGGATGATTCAAACTTGTGTATGTGACATGGCAGGTCCCAGTTGTAAAGGTCCCAGTTGTAAGGTGGTGAGACTAAGGAACGTAGCTAGTCAGAACACAGACTATGGGAATAGAAATAGAGCAACAAGAGGCTTGACTGTGGGAAAAGAGATTGTAGGGTGGAAAATAATTCATCACCCACAATGCCATGTAAACGCTTTTGAAATCAAGACAGGCAAGTAAGGTTTGGCAGCTCCAGTCCAGATATGCCAGCAATACTCCATTTTTTATCTGATCTGGCTCTTGTAAAGATCGAGTATATTGGGGAAGTTAGAGTGGTATAATGAACCATTTTCTCAGCATCTTTCACAATAGATCAAATATATATATATATATATATATATATATATATATATATATATATATATATATATATATATTGATTAGGTGTATATACTTATTTGCAAGATGTACTCTGATCCGATAGAGTGTATTTATCATGCAGACACTGAAGCAGTATGATACAATAATACAAGATAACATATTGATGCATATATTATACTTTTTTGAGATATTTATTGCCATAATCTCAACTCAATGCACTACCAAGTCTGAATAAAACAGATCTAATATATTATTCCAATAACAATCAATAAAAAGCACTACTTATAATATTGATCATGATCTGGTGCATATTGTTCAGTCACTGAAGCAGAAAACATTTGGCAGAGTAAGTATTTGTAAACTTCAATTTAGTCTGGTTTAAGGACACAATATCAGAACTCCCAGGAAGTACTAACTTAGAATGGTCTGTGATATTAGCTTTCTAACCATCAATTGACAGCAGGTATGAAAGATGGGTATATATGAAAGGATACTGGAAAGTGTTTACCTACCAAGATGGGCCTAATAGAAAATTTCTAATATTCGACTTTTTCAGTCAAATTTTGAGAAATGGGTTAGAATAATGACTCATTCTTCTCCATTCATCATATAAATTCTATGATATTTCATTCCAGGAGAAAAACAAAGGTGGAAAGAAAGTCCTGGCACATTAGAAAATGGAAAAGAAATGAATGCTTCTTTGGTTTTTATTGATATATTTAACCAAGATATTTCCTCGCATTATTGATAACATAATCCCATCTATTTGGGAAACTATTGATACTTCAATCCTAACATTCTTCAGCTTTTGATGATAAGTAACACTTAATATCAGTTTTTTTTATCTCTTCAAAATTAACCCCTTCACACTGTTTAAATTCTAAGAAATAATGCATTAAAAAAGCTAAAAGTCAGATGAAGCCAGGTCAAGAGAGTAAGGAGGACAAGGGAAAAATTCCATATTTAGTGTCATGTCAGTGACTGATTATCATGGAAGAGCAACTATAACAGCTAAGGGCCTTTTTCTTATGTCTTTGATTGTGTCCCAGATCAACTTCATAGGGTCTTATCCTGCCGATATGGGACCATATTTAACTGGTTGTTGGAGTGTGGTCAGGTACTTGTCATGGTATCCAATTACAACTGGTTGTTTTGCTGCACCAGATATAACCGGGTGGATTGGGTATAATCCATCAGTATTAGCTGACTACATCATGCCCGTGAACAAGTGCCAACAAGGCCGGTAGATTTCTCTGCCCCACTTCAGTTGAACAGAGTTTAAGCCTTTCCCTACTCCACCTGTCTGTTGACAGCGATTGTCAGTAGTTAAACCCAAATTCTGTCATCATGTTCCAGGATAAAAATCAGTAAGATCATTCTCTCACAGAGCGTGTTAACCCTTCTCTTCATGTTGCTTTTTACAGTCGTGCTTGTGGGGCGAAGTGGTCTAGAGAAAAATTAACAAAATTTAATGTGAAGAAATAAACAGAATTTAACTTCTACGAAATGACGTCTGAGGGCTCTCTCGGTATTCATTATGTCTGTGTGCTCGGCGAGATGCAGGTGTGTTAGAACCTAACACGTTTCCTCCCCTCACAGAAAATAACTGCCAAGCGAAATGTGCTTGAGCTTATATGGGGAAATCTTTCCCGAAAACAAGTATTAGTGACTTTAATAGGTACACTTTACCCAGCCAGGCCTCAGAAAATGACAATTCACAATGTCTACACATTTCATTATCTCCATATTCCTGTAAATTAACCAGCTAGTTTTCTTCCTGGTAAAAGATTCCTTGCAAGGAATCCAAAATAATGATAATTATGAAAATTGCAGACACTTATCGTAGAGAAGGGATATCTGGTTTCTCCCTAGTCGTCAGCTTCAAATTAATTTTGCTCTTACCAATTTTCAAACTTTGTACTAACACTTTTCAAACAAACCTGTGACCACCTAAGTAGACCTTAGAAAAAAAAACATATCCAAGTGCCACTTATCAGTACACCAATCCCATTCTGGATGAAAAGGCATTTCGCACTGATATCTGTACTTGAAAATATATTAAACTTTTTTATAAGCTATCAACATTGCCCTCTTCTAATTTCTGGTCTAGGGGTTGTATCCTCTGGTAGCCAGAGTTGAATTTCACAAATTATGTTTTAATTTTCTGTTTATTTAAATTTTAACCCTCAAACGTCATTTTTACATTTCTACTTATAAAACCTCGATTTCAGAGGGGAGGGGGTACCCTGTTACATTTCCTTTCAAACCCATAAGTTAAATGCATCCCTTAAGAAATATTTTACTCCGTCTTAGGGTAAGACGTTTTTATCTTACCTCATGTAAAACTTTTATGCATTGTAGTAGCAGTATACTGAAATAGCAATAAGGTGTGAGGCAGGCGAGCCATAAATCCTTATTTTTTTTCATGCAATTATGTAAGCTTCTTTCAGAATATTTTAGAATTTATTTTAAAAGTCTTTTGTCTAGTCCTCGTTGTTACAGTTGGCTGTTTTACAAATACTTTAATAGGTGTACCCTCCTTCGGCCTTTCCTATTTTTCTATATTCAAGGACGTCGCCATCATTCTTAGCTGTCCTATATCTCTGTCACCGTGAACAGCCAAGGTTCGTGCTATTTGACTTCGTCTCTTTCTTTCTCTTAATTTTATTACTATCACCGCTAAAGTTATTACGACTGCTATAATAACTGTCCCTGACAAAGACGACCAGGCCACTGCATACGTTCTTAACTTGTCCTTACTGTCCTTACTTTACCAACTAGCTGTTGCAAGTCTGCCTTTGGGGTGGACCTAATAATTTGGGAATTTTGACGAACTCGCTGGTCACTGGTTCCCATAATCTTGTCCAATTCGCTGCCGAAACTTCTGCTAGAGACAAAAAGGAATGTAATGACTCATACTTATCTTCCGCCTGGTAATAGGACGGTAATGCAATTGAATCCCCAAAATCAGAGCATCCCATCGTCGACTCAATAGTTGCTAAGGGTGGTTCCATTCTAATTGTCTCAGTTGGTTCTTCTTCACAGTTTTGAAAATTCTATTTTCTAACCCAGAGCTATAGACCATACTCCGTTTCACAAATTGATCGCTTCTCTTATTATCTCCACTTGGTAATCCTGCTTGATTGCCACCATGTCTCCTCTAAATAACCCCAATACGCACAATCAATGACCACTTGTCACATAGATTAGGCTCTTGGATGGGCATGTTCCTAGAACGTTGGTTTTAGACTGTGTGGCTTCTTCAGATGTTAATCACATAAATCTGGTTTTCGCCACATTGAAAGCTACGTTTTGAGTTTTCAGGTTATACTTTGCTTCAGTATAAGGGATGTACAGGCTTATGATTTTAAAAACTTCAAAGGTGTTTTTATCTGTCTAGTAAAGGTAAAGATACTCGTACCAACAACTTACCCTCATCCCAACGAGTTGCAGTAATGTCGCAGACCATTTGCCCGATTAGAAGGAAGTAGCATGTCACTTGAAGTTGATATAGACTTTCTGACATCACTATTAGGCAAATAAGCTACATCTCTATCTCTCTAATTTTTCTTTCCTTCCACGAACGATTCTTGGCGTCAATCTATATGTATTTGGACGAGTCCACGTCCTCTTCTGGAGAGGTGTGTTCATCTCCACAAGATTTAATCTGTGGAATAATCCTACCTGATTACTTAACAACGACTTATTTAGCTGTCCTGGGGTCACTGTTTTTCAAGATAAATGTCCCAGTGACATCTCTCGTTCGGCTCTCACATGCCCAAGAGATGACAGTAAAGATTGCGGAACCCGACGTAATTCGTTACTCCTTGTCAATAACTGTAAATACTATTTGGCGAATGTTCCCAACCTTCCTGTTTGAGCTTCTAATAATTCCGACACATTTCCAAATTCCCAACCTAAATCTTGAACAGCACTTATCTACTAATTAATACTTCTGTACTTATCAACCAATTAATACTTACCATCGATTTTCAGTCAATTCAATACATTCAATATCGACACACTCTTCCTAATATCCCGAACATTCTGAGTACCCTATAAATGGTTCAATTTTCTCTTAATATCCCGAACATTCTGAGTACCCTATAAATGGTTCAATTTTCTCTTAATATCCCGAACATTCTGAGTACCCTATAAATGGTTCAATTTTCTCTTAATATCCCGAACATTCTGAGTACCCTATAAATGGTTCAATTTTCTCTTAATATCCCGAACATTCTGAGTACCCTATAAATGGTTCAATTTTCTCTTAATATCCCGAACATTCTGAGTACCCTATAAATGGTTCAATTTTCTCTTAATATCCCGAACATTCTGAGTACCCTATAAATGGTTCAATTTTCTCTTAATATCCCGAATATTCTGAGTACCCTATAAATGGTTCAATTTTCTCTTAATAACTTTTAAATTGCTCTCCGACACTGTTCCAAATATTTACGTCTAAAACTTTACCCGCTATAGCAATCACCACTCTTTCTTTCTCTTCGGCAATAACCGTATTTTCTCCAAATATTCACTCATCTGTTTGTACTCCTTAACTAGCAGCTTATTTTCCTTATTCCCTTGCAAACAACGGACGGTGATTGCCAGTTTTCTCGTTATCATTTTCCAACATCTCCAATGCTTCCCTTGTTCTCTCTATTTGACATTCCAATTTATTCGTAAGGTTTCAGATCTAAGTAAACATCCATTTAGATCTAGTAATAGTCACTTCGCCGGCTTTCTTAAATATGCTGCTCTGCATATGCTTCTTCAGTGTTCCTGTCATCTCCAGTATCATGACAAAACATCAATATGGCAAATCGAAATATCGTACAAAGACAACAGGAGGGTTATCAATCTAGAGTGCTTTCTGTCGGTGCCAGGCGTCCACCACTCATAGGATTACATTTCAATCCCGCTTTAAGGCAACGAGAGAGATCATAAGCTCACTAGCGACACAGACAAGAGCAACTATGCTCACAGTAGACCTACTCAAATCAGCCTCCATCATCGCCCCTCTGCTGTCTCCACTCGACCCCTCTTTTGAGAACACATAGTCTTTAGAGGATCCAGCCTTATCCTACCCCTCTACGCTCAGACCTCTTGAATTAAACTTGTCGCGTCACAATCAGTGGTAATTCCTTTTCCCCTCGGTCAACATTTTGGCTTTTCATTCTCCACCTCAAAGGTATTTCATCTATGCTCCACTCTTCCATGCCTGGCTTCACTCCATTCTTATCAATTACAAAACCAAGGTATTTTGTCTCATCCTTGAAAAAAATAACACTTTCAGTTTCAAACCATACTCCTTTAGTTTCTTGAATACAATTTCCAGGGGGTGAAAATGTTCCTCTACATTCTTTGAAAATACCAATATATCATCGCCACTGCAAAATCTTCAAACCTATTCAACATTATAAGTTGGAGGAAAACTCCAGAGGATCCTACCAGTCCAAAAGGCACTGCCTTAAATTGATAGAGCCCATTATGCCACGCAAAGGTTGCTTTCTCTGTATTTCTCATCCACTCTTGCTTGTCATACACTGCTCTTAAGTCCAGTGTGGTAGAACACGTGGCCCTTTCCACCAAGGCCAAGATATCATTAATCTGTGGTAAGGGGTAAAGTCAACAACTTAGTGATTTTATTCAATGCTTTAAAATTCAGACAAAATCTGTCCTCTCCATTCTTTTTTACCACGTCGACTATGGGAAAGTTCCACAGCGAGCGAGATCTTTCCACAACCCCAGCATCTCCTTAACAGCTTCCTCCACGAACTCCCTTTTATTAATGGGTGTTCTGTACAGACACAATTTAATTGGTAGGTGGTCTCCTGTTTCGATTTTCATCTTCACTGCCTATGATCTTCCCAGCTCCTCGTCTGAATTTGTTATCGCCCTTTCATTAACCTTTAGTAATTTAGGCAATCTCCCTTTAAACATTTTTGGGACCATTAACTCGTCTTCCTTAATCTCAGCTTATTCCTTTTAATTCTCTTTTACTTTTCATATTTGACTCTTCTCCTTAGATCAACTACCACTGCCTTTCCCAATTCCGTATCAGGCGACACTCTCATCGTTTTATTAGCACTGTTTACTATCATTACAGGGACGCTGCCCGCCATGGTTTCTTGGACTAGTGTTTCCAACAATGTAGCTTTTTCTCCTTCGATATGGAAATCTGTCGAGGGGACTATTTGATTGAATCCCCACTAGCAATCTCTAACCAGCATGTACTTGTCAGCGCCGTATGAGGCAGCAACTTGATATCTTGATCTAACTACACCTTCATTTCTGTTGCATTTTCCAAAGTTATCCCTTCCCCATCCAATCTTAAAAGTAAGAGGGTCAAAAGAAATTGAGGTTTTACTTTTCTTAAGCCACTCACCTCCCTAAATCAAATTTCTGCCCAATTTCGGAGACACATAAATCCGCTGTCGAATCGTTTTTCCGCACCCTACCCGCACAGGCTCATCTATCATTCCATTCAGTTTCATTTCGCCTGAGTAACTATCAAATCTGCTTGCTTCAACGATTTCCTTGTTATTCACAACCTTTTTAACTCTGCAGAATTTATAAGTGTAATGTTTGAACCCGTATCAATCAATGTCCTCGTATTTTCACATTATACGTCAGTTCACAAGCGTTCGACACCATTCGATATACTTTCGCCCTCCTTGCTACATTTTTTTCATAACCTTCTACCTCTCTCAGGGTTTCCTTCCCTTCCCATTTGTTGTCGCGGTTCTGAATATTTATTTCCACCACTCTTCGATTTACCCTTAATGAACTACAGTCTGTATGATAATCTCAGGTCATATGGCTCTGCTTTCCATATACATAACACACCGTTCTATCACACTTTCTCATTACATGCCTCTCTTTATCAAAGATCCAACACCTTCGTTTGAAGGCAAAAAAATATGAAAATAACATATATAAACAAAAAAGAATTAAAATTAAAATAAGGCATTTACTTTCCTTTAAAACCCATATCTCTTTCTCTCTATCTATCTCTCTCTCTCACACACACTCTCCCTCTCCCTCTTTGTACCCTTCTCTCTATATACTTCTTTTCCAACTAATGAGAAGGTAACCCCCAAATAAAAAGAAGTAGAAAAAGAAAAGACTGAACACAGATTCAAAATGTCGGAAGTTTGCTGAACCAGGGTCTAGAAATATACTAAAATAAGAGAGACTCCACGCATAACTTCCGCTTTGAAAAAAAAAAAATTAAAAAAGAAAGGAACACCGGAAAATAAAATTTTGGCCACTCAAAAATGAACACAAAGCGACTTTTGATGTTAGCTGAAACCAAGCCGAGAGGTAGAAGGAGAGAATGAACCTCCAGAGAAACTAACCAAGGTGTCACGTGAAGAAGTTATGTGGTCGTCTGCTTAAGACATTTTTCAGTCCCTTTGAGGGTTGAGAAAACAACAAAGTGACGTCCGCAACAATTTTCCAAAGTAAACGCCCACTTGACTGCTACCAAGGTCCGACTTGTAAACTATCAAATCTCGAGCCGAACGGACTTTCGCCAACCCGAATTAATAAGGACTCACTCAAATCGAAATCAAAAAAATTATTGATTATACTTTTCTGGCACTTCACTACAGTCACGCACTCTCTTAATGTTCCCCTTTCTTCCATTTCACCTCCTTACATCTACTCAACAGGCGTCCCGCCTTTCCACAAACCCAACGTAGTGATTCCTTCCCCTTTAACTAAATGATATTTGCCTACGTTACTTTTCTCTTCTCTCCTTAGTTCCTCCATTTTTTTTCTGAGGTTTTCTTTTTGGGTGGAGTGAAATCTCTTCCCATCTCAAATTCTACCTACATACATGCACAAACTGACCGAATGGTTGTTCCTATCACATTTACTATATCTGGGTCTACCACAATCTATGGCTTCTGAGAGAAGACCCTCATTAGTGAGATATTCCTTCGCTCTATGCCCCTTTCTGTTACAAAGCACATTGAGCCACACCTCCCTGGGATGGCTACATACATTCCATCCCACAGAGAACAACACACTCCATTGATGGCTTTTTTATCCCAGTCTTCCTACAGACAATTCGGTTTCTCGTTGCCCCTCATCCATAACATACTTGCAACAACTCAGTCGGTTCTAATAAGTTCTCCCCTAATGGCCAGGCTCCTGAATCTGGCCAAAATACTTTCACTAGCGCTCGCACCCTCGAATGCTTGTTGCAACGTCCCTGGTACCTTTCTCGTGACGTCTTCTCACACTTGAGAAGTTCTCAAGGATTCATTGAAATAATCCGTTAATAAAAACTGGACCGATTCCGGGGAGGCCGCCTCAGTCCACATCTTAATATCACTCATAACGACTCGCTTCCTTTTCCTTAATTCCAGCCAGCGCCCTCAACGTCTCCGTTGAGCTGACATGCTTCTTAGTTCAGCTAGTAGCTCTGCCCATGAAATATTCCTATTCTCTTCCAAGATTGACATTACAAAATCGAAAGCCTTGCCCTCAGTATAATCGAGCGCCAATGCAACCACTTCGGTGTCCGTCATATCATAAAGGAGTGCCTTGTAACCTCGCTCCCAATGCATTTGCACACCCATTGAAGTGGGTTAACTTCAAACCCGTCATATTCAAGCCGGATGTCAACTGATTGTGAGGTTTACCTACCCCAGTACTTTCTTTTTTCTCAATATTATCAGATACCATTTATTCACGACTGGGGGGGGGGGCTTGACGATACATAAGACAAAATAAAAAATAACGGAGGCAAAGAACAGAAGAAAACGAATTTCCGACCTACATTAAAAAATTTTTTTCTGACCAGAATATTTGTTGACAGGTGTTGTAGCTTACCTACGGCCGATTATGGGTATGTCCCCCTTCACATAAATACAGTAGTAAATACTGTATGTTGGTCTGCAGTTGGAGATTCGTCTCCCCAGCTATGCTGGTCAAACTCTATACCTCCGGGAAGAGAGGATCCCCAGACGACGCTATGTCAAAGTGCAGAGTCTCGTCTCAGGAAGCAGCTACCCGACCCCGTTTTATACAGAGTCTACGGGAAATTTTTGGCCTAGACTACGGGCTCGGATCCGCACATTAAATTAGGTCCTGTTCCACATCTGGTCGCGTGGGGCGGTTGGTAGTTATCCTGCAGTTGGAGATTCATTGTGGAATTCACTTGACTCAGTTCTAGCAGTTGACTGCTTATACGCGCCGCTGGCGAATCTTATAGGTGTTGTTCTTGTCCTAAGTATTATCGTTCATTACCAAACTTCGTGCGATTATTCTATTCAGTAACCTTCCCTAGGTTACAACAGGCAATCCATGTAAAAAGTTCGAAATTCGAATACAGCGTTCTTTTACAGTCTTGAATCCTTTCTATTCCTCTTTCTCTATTTCCTTTAGTCGTGTAGTGATGATTTATTTCTCTTTTCACTATTACTATGAGTCATTCCTTTCTCAATGTCTGTAGCACTTTCGTAACTACTTCCAGGTCGATATCCTGGTCTGCTGGCATCATATATAATACCCTGGTTGAGGACATTTTCCTGGTGTCCTCGATTGCGTCCCTGATCGAATTGATAGGGTCTTATCCTGGTTGCTTGCGTGTGGTCAGATCCTTGTTCCGGTAATCAATGGCTCATTCGGATTTTCGCATAAAGGTTTTAGTGACTATATATAATTAGTCATTTCAACCGTCCTACTGTAAGAAGACAGAGTGGCTTTTAGGCCTGAATCTTATCAACTATGAAGAAAATAAATATAAGTTAGAAAAACTTTATAAAAATATAGATTAGTTTATAAACAAATTTCTCCAAAAACTATTAAAATCCACTATGTTTTAAATGCTATGTAAACTTAGAAATTGAATTTCACCAGAAAGTTAAAACTTATTAAGGCATTGATCTATCATGGCCTTATAATGGGCTCAAAGTCAGAGATAAACTTAGAAATTGAATTTATCCAGAAAGTCTTAAGTGAAAATGGAAATCCCCTTGATATTGTGGGCCTAGCGTTCGTGCTAAAATGGCGCAATTCGAAAAACAAAAGTTATTTCGTCCCAAAGTATGTTGTGTCTATTTGTGTATACTGTGGATTGGTGATGTTAGTATGAGATTTGCTAAGCAAATTTCTGCTAATGTGAAAATTGTTACTCGTCTGCCAATCCGCATATTGTCTCTACTGTCCAACTAGCATTAAGATTGATCTATTAGGATGCTTTACCTCCTCACCATATTAGTTCTGTAATTTACCATTTTAAATGCCAATGTGACGCTATCTATATTGGTACAGTGAGTCAAAGAATAAACAAGAATAAATCAACATGTACCAATCAATATTCAAAAAGGAAATTGGGTTAATTTGTACACGTGCCTCCGTACATCCAGGTAAGTGATCAGCGAACATTTATTAAATAACCATCAACATTCTCAGTCCTAGAGCCAAGACACGTACTCAGTACTGAAGAAGACCCAGTTGGATTTCCATTTAAAGGAATTTAAATCTATTTCCAGCTCGCCCTCTGTAGACAGAAAGAGTGACTTTCAGGCATGAAAGCTTTCAGCCTTTAACGATTATAACATATCTAACATCCTGTCTTTGATGTTTTACTATTATAATCACTGTGCACATGTTTTTCAATGCTCAATAAAATTCTAACGAAGAAGGATTTAAAATATGTTGAGATTCTGTCTTTTTGTTCTCGTTTTTGTTTTTCAACTTACCTTTTCATGGTAAATAGACTTACCTGTCTATATTTCTGAAATGAGGTATTGTAATGTTAGATTTAGATTATTTACATTGTTTGAACTGTTGTCCTCATTACCATATTCACGACGTTTCAGTCGTTGTACACTCCGGCTTTCTTCAGGTGATTAGAATTTCGAACTGAACCCTTTATTTCATCCACCAGGGTATATTATTCTAGTTCCACATGCCATGCCTCTTCTGGATGTCTCAATAATCTCCCTTTAACTCAACTCTCCAATTTTTGTCCACCACTACAGTAGCCAGGTATTGAACTCACAACTCTGTGGGTCAAGTTACTGGATCCAATATGGCCCAGTGGATAAAAGCGTTGGTTGGATGTGGCTTGATTTTAATATATGTGTTTTTATTGCAATTATTAATTATTTGTGATAATAGCAACAAAGATGAGGACATGAGTTTAAATATAATCTATATACAAATCATTTATATTTATTTGTTGAAACAGATTTTAATTATAAATGAGGAGATTTTGTCAAACCACCATCTTTTGGTTTCTACTGAAATTATACAATAAAAATAATGCAAACTCAGTTGTTTTACTTGACATCTCTGGTTTCTTTTCAGTTTCCAACTTTCAAGGTTTTTTTTTTTTTCTGTGACTCAAAGAAAAGGAACTTGTTAATTGATTAGCATAATATTCATATCATTTGCTGCCAAAATAAATACAAATTATTATTGTCTCTATTTAAGTAGTGAGTATTTCAAACTACAAGAATAGTTCTGACTCTGATTTCCTCTCAAAGATATCAATGCTGGATCATTTTTAACCACAATTACCTGAATAATATTCTTGGCCTTGCTCTATAGTTAATCCTACCAAACTTTGGCAAATGCTTTTATGTTGAGATCCAACATTGATTTCAGTATTAGATCAAGGAACAGCATTGATTTGCAGAGGAGCTTACCTTAGTTGATTTGATAACTTGGCAGAATTTGGAAATACAAAATACGGCAGCTGTAACCAGTGGCCAAATTAATATGAACAGTTGTACTAATGTTTATCAACTATTAGAAAATGAGTACTACTGACATTTAAGTAGCATACATTTGGAAAAATAAGAAATAATTTAATAAAATGTTTACCAATGTCTACTACTACTTAATTTCAATAAAGGTGCATTTAATTTACAAATTCATGAATTATTCATACAAAAACAAATACAAAGGTTAATGATTTAATTGGCGAGAAATCCATCGTCGCGAACAATTCAAATAATATTTGTACAAGAACGCACAATTGGAAAATTTAAAATCAAACTCAGTGTTGCTACTGCACGCTCCAAAAACAATAACTCATTTCTAATAGCATTTTTCGGATACAACAATACATATATTTTCGTTGTCCTCTTATTACTGAGAGTAAAAACAAGAACACCATCTATTCCATACCTGAAGATGTCTGTAGGAACAGACGAAAGCTTGTAGTAAAATAAGAACTAATGCAACAGAAATTTATAAAAACAAGGATTTTTTCATTCATAACAGGTTCGGGGTTTTTGTATATTATTTGAATTGTTCGCGACGATGGATTTCTCGCCAATTAAATCATTAACCTTTGTATTTGTTTTTGTATGAATACTACTTAATTATATACAATTTTTTAAAGATAGCAATCAAGATGTTTTCCTATATACATGCATACACATAAGTCTCGAAATCCATATGGGTTGTAGATGCACCACATGTACTGCAGGTGTAACAGCAGTGGGCGTATCTTGGACAAGACAGCCTGATGAAACCCATCAGTCATCGAGCTGAGTTTGAATTCAGGGTTTTTCTTTTCCTAGACTGATTGCTAGTAATGACTAAAGAACTAAGTATGTCTTTTGATTTAACCCATAGTTGGGAGGAAGAGATATGAATTCATACCTTTCCCCAGGGTATTTGTGCAGAAGTGAATGTAATGATCCCTGAGGAAATTCAAACTCCGCTCACCAACTTACACAACCTGCACACCCATACATACATTACATACCCGAACATGTGTACACATACATGTGATGAGAGATACTGGAAGAAAATGGGAAAAAAATTTATTTTAAAGAAAGCATAGAATGCATTCTAAAAAAATAAATATTTAAAAAATCTGTTAAATTATATTTTTTTCTGTTATTGCATTGTTTTTTCTTATCTGATTCAATTTACAATTTTTAATATTCAAATGTCCTTGTTTTTATATTAACCTATGAATTAAAAAGAATGTAACAATTTCATTTTTAATATTCATAAGGGAACAAATTCCTTAAAACAATTAGTACAAATGAAAATACAATAAACGGAACATACACAAGCAAGGAAGTTCAGGATGTTAGCAATTGTGGTTCTCCACATTTTCCTGTCTTTTGTAAATCTTAGTAAATTTTCTCTTTTTGTTATCATTCCTAAATCATCTTCTGCCATCCATTTACACGAGCTTATTGGTGTAATAGGAATAGTAAGAAGACAAACGTTGCTTAGAGCTATGAATGATAGGAAGCTGTTAAGGGCTATGATCACCCATGTCATGAAGGGGATTATAAAGAAACCACTCATAACAATCAGATACAATCTGAAATTTTGGGGTTACATTATGAAGAAAGAAGGCTTGGAGAAATAAACACTCATTGGGACACACTGAAAGCAAGAGAAGCTGAAAGAAATCAGTGAGTGACCTGTCTGACAAATTTGTGCAAATAGCTGGTAGCTAACAAGAAAAAGAGAAAGCAACATTATACCTGAGAAAGGAAAACAGGAAACTGCAGTGGACTATGACTGCTCAGGATCTAAAAGGTATATAGAATATGGTGAAATATACTAAGGAATGGGGTTCAATACTAATCTGTTTTTGAAGGACTGATAGAAAAAGTTCTTTGATGTTATTAATTGAAAAATTTGAATTAAAATTCTCTCAAAACTAAAATTTAGATAAAAACTGAACATATATCTTTTATTTAATGTTGCCATATGTTTTGGAACTTTTAATCCTTTCATAAACCAAATATTTACATTCATTTAATTTTTAAGTATAAATGCAGATTGTAAAAATAATTTTATGGAATTATAACAAATGTATGCTACACACAAACCCATTTTCTTCAGCTACTTATTATTATTATTCTTATAAAAATTCTTCTTCGTCGTCTAAGAATTCTTCTTCTTCTAAAAATTCTTCTTCTAAGAATTCTTCTTTTTCTAAGACTTCATCTTCTGAGAATGCTTCTTCTAAGAAATCTTTTCTTCTTCTTTTGAGAATTCATCTTCATCTAAGAATTCTTCTAAGAATTTGTTTCTTCTTCTGAAAATTCTTCTTCTTCTAAGAACTCTTTTTCTAAGAATTTGTTTCTTCTTCTGAAAATTCTTCTTCTTCTAAGAACTCTTTTTCTAAGAATTTTTATTTTCTTCATCTGAGAATTCTCCTTCTACTTCTTAGAATTCTTCTTCATCTTCTAAGAATTTCTCCTTCTGAGAATTCTTTTATTCTTCTGAGAATACTTCTTTTTCTTCTTTTTCTTTTTCTTCTTCTTCTAAGAATTCTTCTTCTGAGAATTCTTCTTCTAAGAATTCTTCTTCTTCTTCTTTTGAGAATTCTTTTATTCTTCTGAGAATACTTCTTCTTCTTCTTCTTCTTCTTCTAAGAATTCTTCTTCTTTCTAAAGGTTCTAACCTAGTGAATTATCTTCTCTTTCCAAGAATTTTAAATTATTGTCCATTACAATCTGTATTGTGATTTTGCATTTGTACTTAAAAATTAAATCAATGTAAGTATTTGGCTGATGAAGAGAATAGAAATTCCGAAACATATACAAATATTCAATATAAGATATAAATCAATATACAATTTTGATAGTTTATAATTTTAGGTGTTAAAATGTTCAATTCAAAACAGAAAATATTAATCTTACCATAATTTGGGAATAAGGCTTCCTGGATTATTTCCAAAGAGATGACAAACTAATTTTATAGTTTTGAGAGCCACAGATCAACAATGATTCCTATTTGTCTAAGATATTTCACAGAAGAATTTTTGTTCTAATTCTATACCTCATCTGCTATGACAGAATAAATATCAACCTCGCTTTTACCAATTAATCAAAAAAACATAGACTAGAATTCACTTGCAATAAAATTAATTGCAGTAATAAAATAGAGCTGTTTAATTCTTTTTTTCATTCCAAGTAATATGAAAGAAAGCCATTGTGATATCCTGGCTTAGGTTTTGTTCAATATAGCAAGTGTATCAAAATAGAGAAAGCTAAAAATATATATAGAAAATATTGACAAGAACTTGTAGTTGATTATATGAATAATATAGATTATCTTACATAAAATTTATTGAATTCTTTTTAAAAGTTTTACCTTATACAAGGTTCAAGAACCACTCAAGTTAGAGAGTTACATTTGAAATGGTAATTATAATGGAATTGGTTTAGCTAAAAGGTCATTAGCATAAATAGAGCTATAGCTAAGCTGAGACAGTGCACATAGAATATCTACAGCTACTAAATTTGATCATCATAACAAAATGGTATTGCCTGACAGAGCACTGTGAAACACAGAAGAATCTTAAAATGTAAGGATTTGGATAAAATGCTTTGAGGAACATGCCAGAGTAATGAAGTTATGAGATGACTAAATACCTGAAGGAAAGAAACAAATCACGTATCTATTTTTGGCCACTGTGGGATATGAAGCCATATTGAAATTGAAAACTTGACATTTAAGGAAGTCAAAGAAATAATATTGAGAAAGATTCAACCAAAGAAAAGATTAGTCATATTTGAACAAACCAAATTCTTAGCACTGAGACATGAATTTGGGGAGCCTATAAGGAAACATCTAAGCAGTTTCAAGAGAGAACAGCAGATATTGTGAATTTCATGAACTATGACAACAAGGAATAAGCACAGAGGAAGAATTAATTCAACTCCAATTGGTAGAAGGACTGTACAATTGAGTGTATATATTTTATGAACATAGACTTGGAACAGATGATGAATTTAAAGAAAACACAACAATAAACTCTCCCATAGGCTTACTTAGATGGTCCCGCTTACCATTTGGAATTAAGACAGCTAGCTCAATTTTTCATTGAGTAAAAATCTTAGAGTGGTTACAAACAAACCAAATGACTTTAGAAGCTTGTATTGACTTCATACAACAAGAGGAGTTAACTGAAAAATTTAATACAAATGAAAACCAACTTGAGCTTATGGACACATGTGTGATAAAAAGAACAATGATAAAATGCAGATATTGCAAATATAAATATGAATCAAAGAGAGAGAAATGTCTAATGGCAGATATGTAATAAATGCAAAAAGAAAAATTACTTTCAAGTCATATGTAAATGGCAAAATACCAAAGTAAAAAATGTTGAAATAATACACAACAATGTAAAAAGGCAAACAAACGTTTTTTCAATAGAAAGCAGAAACAAAAAGAACACCTTCATGAATATTAAATTAAACAGTGTAGACTTAAAAGGGACATTAAAAAAACTATAAAGTGAGCCTTAAGCTAAAAAGAGTATCAGTCTATCGTATTTTGAAAGCCGTAGGCTTCCCATTCCTATAAAGCCAATGGTAGTTGATAAGCTGCAAAAAATGGTGGAAGAAGGCATTCTTCAATATGTAGAACCTGAAGGCAGCAAATGGACATCGTCTGTTGTGGTTTTAAGAAAACCTGATGATGATTTTAGAATTTGTGGAAATTACAAAGTAGGCATAAATCATAAGATTTGTTTGGATTCCTACCCTATTCCAAACATAGAAAACATATTACATTCTCTGGCAGCAATGAAATATTTTATGAAAATTGATTTAAAAAATGTGTCTCACCAAATTGGAATAGATGATGAATTTAAGGAAATCACAACAATAAACTCTCCCATAGGCTTACTTAGATGGTCCCGCTTACCATTTGGAATTAAGACAGCTAGCTCAATTTTTCAAAAAGCTATGAAAAATATGTTAGTGGGATGGGTAGAAAATATGATAATTTATCAGGATGATATGTGATTAAGATGGGCTATGAAGTTAATGGCTTTTGATTATGATATAGAATATGTGAAGAGAAACATGATACCACAGGTAGATGCATTGTCCCAAATAGAGTTTGAAAAAGAACAAAATGAAAAATCATAAAAAAGGTTGAGGATGAATTTTTGCATTGGGTGGAAGTGGGTGTGTTGCCCATGAATAGACTAGTTATAGAGACGTTACAAAATCCAGTCTTAAGTAAAATTTTATCTAGAATAAGGAACAATAATAAATGGAGTAATTGTTCAAAAGCAGAAAGATCATACATAGAAACAAGACACAAACTATAATAGAAAATGGTTTAATTTTTAGTGGGGATTTAGTTGTACCACTGGAAAAATGTAGAAAAGAAGTAATTAAAAATGTACAGGATGATGTGCATTGTGGAATAACTACTACACAAAAACTGTTAAAACTGGAAGTGTGGAGAATTGCATACAAAAATGTCCTAAATGTGCCGAAATAAAGAATTACTGCCACAATAAGTTTGATCTTTGAAAACAGAACCATGTCTAGGGTTCATATGGATTACGCACAAGTTAATGGGATAGGTTTATGTCTAATACTGGTTAATGCTTTTACTGCCTGGCCTGAAGTTTTCTGAGTTCAGGATAAAAAAATTACTGTAAAACAAATATTACACATAATATTTGCTAGAAATGGAGCACTAAAAACATTAGTAACTGAGAATGCCCCTGAATTCTGTGATGAAAGTCTATGATTGTGGTTAAGGAAGATAGGCTGTGTCCCATATAAAACACTTCCTTACCACCCTCAGTCAAATAGGATTGCTGAATGAATGGTTCAAACAATAAAGATGAGACTGAAGTCATTTTTTTCTCATCAAGAAAAGATTGAAACTTTCCTACAAAGAATATTGTTGAGTTACAGAATGATACCACATGCTGAAAGATTAGAGAGCCGGTCTGCATTAATGGTCGGACAAATTAGAGCTCAATTAACCATGTCTTACTCTATTAATGAAAACATGGTACAAAAGAAATAAAGAAAATGAGCCGGAAAAAGCAAATTTCATAATGCAAAACATGTCATTAATATGCAAGAATGGTAAAAATATTGATGTCCATGCAGACCAGTTAAGAGCTAGTCAAAATTATGAGGAAGTACAAAGAGAAGCTAGTTCAAATGACTATGTAAATGAACAAGAAATCAGGGCAAAGGAATTCATGTTCAAAGTTCTTCGGAAGACTCAGAGTGCAAAACATGTGACACTGAGAATATGAGGAATCAGATCAAGGTCTCCAATAATGAGAAAAAACCAGTGAGAGAGGAAGGAAATGTAGAAGAAGCTGTAGAGCCATGCAGAGTGTGAAACTCAAAAGAGTCAGGGAGATGTAATAGGATTGGTTTAGCTAATAGGTAATTAGCATAAAGAGATATATAACTATAGCTCATGGGCAACTTTGAGACAGTGTACATAGAATATCTATGGCTACTAAGTTTGATCATTGTAACAGTAATGATGAATGATGTGTGAAATATGAGTGGAGGAGAAGTTCGTACGAAGAGAAGATTATGAGGATAAAGATTATGTGGGTGACTCAAATCTAGTTGAGGTAATATGATGCATCCTAGCAGTAATAGTTTGAATATGTGGAACAAACAAATTGAGCTTATATAAACATTTGCCATGGAAATAGTGAAAGAGTAGTCATAGGCTTACAATGTTGCATCTATGATTGCAAAGTGGAAAATATGTTTCTCCACACAAGACTACATAAATGATTTTGAATTTTATCCAAGCTGGAAAGTGAGGATTGAGCAAGACCAGCCCAGATATAACAGTAATGTTTCATTTTGTGACCTAATCTGACTCTTGTAATAATTCATGGCAGAAGGTGTTAGGTTCTTCCTGGAGTAATATAAAGAGCTAACCATTTTTCCAGCTTCTTTAGAGAGGGATCATCTTATAATCAGTGGTTGTTCATTAATTTTTAAAAGAAAAAATGATCAGAAAAATTAGTTCTAAATTTTTACCTGACCTTTGTAATAATGCTAATGATAATGATAATATTAGCGATTTCCTTATAAGGAAATATTCAACATTCATTGTCTGTGTTGCTGTTGGTTGGGATTTATAAAATCTTTTTCTTAAAACAATTTTTCAGGAAATAGCTCTTTCCAGTATTGATGGGGAGGGGGTCTTTCTGAACTTTTATTCGAAATAGTGTGGAATATTGACATCTTGATTATATCATTATTTTCTCTTACTAGTGGCAAAAAGCCTAAACCCTATAATTCTACTTATTTCCACAAATCAATACAAAACTCTTTTCTCTTGCATAAATCAGCAGTCTACTATACTGTTAGGTATTTATTGAACTTTGCCTTTGATATATTTGTTGGAATTTCCTATCAAGTCTATGTTCACGGAATATATACACTGAATATAATTAGTAAGACTGTTTCAGTGAACATGTGTTTTTACAATGGGAGGGAAATAAATGACAACATTCCACACAGACTCAATATACTTCCTAAATTGATTGGTTAATTGCAATAATTTTATTTTTTATCTTTGTTAATCAGAATAGTTATAAATG